TTATCTTACTGCAAGCGTTTGAGGAAAATGGGGAGGTGAGAAAGATCCAAGGCGTCTTTGGAATTGGAGGATTGAGAAGCTCCATGAGTCGTAAGTGTGGATCAGGGTCTCGGACCAGACAGGAAGAGAGTGTGAGGTTTATTGAAATGGTAAGGAAATTGCTAAAACAGTAAAACCCAGTACGGAATTCAGGAAACGGCGCCGTATAGAATGCAAGAACATATAAAATCACTTCGGAAGGGCGAGGCGAATAATCTAGTACCATTCACACCCTCTTTTATTACATAGAACACTACGTGATTTATTGTATTTGCATTAGTTTATTCATGGAATGTTAAAAACATAAAAAAACCAACATTGGATTAAGTAAAACTAACAAGTGAGATATTAAAGTAATTGAATATAGAAAAAGGTAAATTAAAGTAAGGTATTAAAATAATTGAATATATATATATAAAGTGAATTAAATGAGATAAAAAACTTAGTAAGTTGCCTTCTACAGTAAAAAACACATATAAATTCATAATTTTTTCTTTTTTTCTTTTTTTTAGTTTGTGTTTTTATTAAAAAATATATGAATCTATTTTTGAAATTTTTTTAAAAAAATAAATATTATGTGCTTTTATATTGAATTGTTAGAGCTAGAGATTTAATGAATAAATTATTTGGTACTAGTAAAACCACAAGTTTTAAATTAAATTTTGAACTTTTTAAAAAAAATTTATATTTTTATATTTTAAAAATTTTTTAATAATTTTTTTGAATTTAAATTTATATAAAAAAAATTTCAACTTAAACTTTTAGAAAAAAAAAAAGCAATATAAAGAGAGGGAATGTAAAGGAGGAGAGAGAAGATGGATGGAAGAAAAGAAAGTAAATGACGACTCTTTAGTAATTTTGTAATTTAAATTGACCACATTACCCATCCAATGTTATATTAGCATCAAGCCATTCTTTGGTAACGGAGTAACAAGGATGTAGACGGAAAGATGACATTTGATGAGGTCATCGTCAGCAGAAGGGTTGATTTGTGGGTTTTGTCAAGCAGAATGGTTGATTTGCACTACTTTTAAGTAGAGGGGCTGATATGCCACAATAATGGAAATAGAGGGACTGAATTGCACCTTCTGCTTTTATGAAAGGGTAAGGAAATCGCTAAAACCCAGTACGGAATTCAGGAAACGGCGCCGAATAGAATACAACATATAAAATCACTTGGGAAGGGCGAGGTGAATAATATAGTACCATTCACACCCTCTTTTATTACATGGTACACTACGTGATTTATTGTCCATTAGCTTATTCATAGAATGTTGAAAACATATAAAAACCAATATTGGGTCAAGTAAAGTTACCAAGTGAGACATTAAAGTAATTGAGTATGAATATAATGTGAATAGATGTAAAACTTAATAAGTTGACTTTCATGATCCAATGCCCTCTTCCTTTAGGGTTTAAGGAACTCCAGCTCACCGTAGGATGGTAGCTAAAAGTATTCAGTCAATAAAAGCCGACGTTTTCGAATTGAACTAATTAGTTGCTAAGACACCACCATGCAAAATGTCATGAAAGGAAAGCATTGGGAAAGTATCATCCAAGTTCCAAATGTGTAACTAAAACTAGAGAAGTCATCATGAAAACCAGAACTTCTTTTTGGTTCTAAAGAGAGTAAAGAAGCTTATTGTTAATTGAGAAAAAGGCTTAAGCCTATAGCATTCGTACATAGTTCATGAATCCTCTACATCACCTGCATACATTTGATAATAATAAATGCTGGTATTGTAAATAGATGTGGGGGTTGGCAGGGTGAGATGGAGACTCCCGACCACGCCTTAAAATTTTAACTACATAGGTTGGGAATGCAGGCCCCGCCTTCAGGGTTCTGCTGTTCTTTCCATATCCGTCCAGTGACTCGCAGCTTCAACTCTTTTCTATCCCCTCCGGAGAAGAAAAGTGCCATATTACGCTGTATGATTAGGCCATCGTGGCTGTCTCTAACCCTTCTGTGGCTATCTCTTATGCTTCGTGGAGTGCCTTCCCATGTGAGTTTCCGGCCATTGCCCCCAACTTCTAAGCTGTAACTGTAGTTCCGGGCTTCAATCTCATCACCCATGAAACGGAGGAATGCCATGTAAACGGGGGCCACTCCAAGCTGGAAGGCTTCAAAATGAAGACAGAAATACTGGCCAAAACAATGGAATACCTACAAATAACAACAAGAGATGAGCGAATCAGGATTGAGAACTGTTGATTCGATCAATTGCGAGGAACAGCCTCTGGTGGAGTTATTATAAGCCAGGAGTTCTATCATCATAAACATTTATCTTACACCAAGCCTACACATCCATCAGTTCTAACCTCTATTTTGGTTTTCAAAACCATCAAAGAGCTTATGTAAAGGCAACAATACAATAACAACTACTGTTACTACTCTTTTCTTATTAGCTATTATAACTTTGGCATCATAAACTTTACCCAGCCTAATAACATTCCATTGCAGATGTTCATCAGAAGATCTCGTAAAAACATGCATACTTACAGTTAACATCCATGTGGCATTTTCTACTTCCCGTGGATTAGACTTCACATAACGATGGTTAAATGTGCATCCAGAATGCATGTCAACCTTGTGATCATCCCTCAGGTGAGCAACGAGGAATGGGATATCACCAACAACAGAGCACTCTGATCCAGCATATGGGCAGTTGTATGGCCTGAAGTTACATATGGACTCATGCTTGAGTTTACTGTAGTAGGGGAAGATCTCTGGGCATCCAAGCAACATATATTTGCAAGGCAGTTCAAGGGATTCAGCTACTTTCTCCAGTGCTAGACACCTTATATCACCAAGCTCCTGCCTACATGTGGGGCATCGGTTATGTACCCTTGTTTTACAGGTTGAACAGAGTGTATGCCCATTGTGGCACTGTAGAACAACAAACTTCAAAGAATCACCAAAAAAGTACAAATACACTGGCGGTAAACATTAATGGCATTCCAAACCTTAGAACCTAAAGATGCTCCACATGGTCATGGGCCAAGTTTACCATTAAAACATTGAGAAGGATATATCACAAAACATACAAATGAGTTGGAGCAATCAATCAAGCATTGCTTCACAATCAAAGCCATCCTTAGTAATTAATTATCAGAACCACAAATGACAAAGAAAAAGGATTAAGAATAGATGAACTTCACCTAGTATTCTAGTTTTACTTAGACATTTCCACCAACACCAATAAGTTCAACACTAATAACTGCAACCAAAACCATCTCAATGTTCAATGCATAAAGGCTTCATCATATGTGTGTGTTTGAATGCGAAAATGTCTTTAATCTTTATGCACATACATGGAGATGGCCAAGGACAATTCAATAAGTTCTGTCACAATTGGACAGTTAGCCAAAGAACAAGTGCTTGAAGTGACAAGTTCCTGAAAATGTTGACAGCCACCTAGCAACAAGAGAAATTAAGCAAAAAAGTAAAATACAGGACCCACTGACATACAATATAATAGGTTGAAGAATCTGTGGCAGATATAATAGCATAAAAAAACTCAGTAGGTGAGAGGCATGGTTTGGGAATATACTTTGGCAAGCAACAAGGGTAAGTTCATCACAAAGACAAAGAATTTAAAACACAGTTACTGAAGTAGAACAAGAAAGGGATTAAAGAGTAAAGAGGGAAGGATGACATGAGAATACCAGACTTTTGGAACACAATTTCAATCTGTCTCAAAACTAAATAACCCTTATTAGACTCCTAATAGAAACTGAATAATAATATAACTTAAACTTATGTACTCTATAAAACCTAAAACCCTAATTAGACTCCTAATGAAAATCTTTATTGAACGATATAAATCCTGATAAAGAGTAGGTAAATATTACTGACAACTTAATATTCCTTTATATTCAGAATTTCCTTCCTTATCTACATCAGTTACTCCCCATCTTCTTCCAAATGCTTCATTTTTATGTACTCATAGAAAGTGCTGCTGTGAATTATCTTTATAAGACAAGGATTCACTTATTAACTGCTTTGATCAGATTAAAAAGCATTTCCATTGAATGAAAATTGAGAACAGCAAGCATTTTTTTAGGATGGACAGGCTGACTGGCAAAGAAAAATATAGGGTGAAGAAACCTTCTTGACGATACTTTAAAGCATCAAAATCACATGATAACAGCATGCCACTACAGTAATACCATAAAAAACCAAACTACACAAATGCCAAAAATCTACTAATTCATAAATACCAGCAACCTAATCCTCTAAATCAAACCAAAATGAACAAACTGATCTATCGCAGCCGCAATCACCAATCACAATCAATCTAAAGCTGACAACATTTCCTGTATTCACAAAGAATTAACCACCAATTCTTAACCCCAGGAGAAAAAAGGATTCAATATATAAAATCAAAAACCTCAAAATGACACTCACCTGCAATCAATGCGTGGTAAAATCTGACCAAAAGGGAACAGATTTAACTATTCAAAGAAAAAAAAAAAAAGTTGGGAAACAAGGAAAAAGAAACATTAACGAAAGGGGAAAAATAAACCAAATTGCAATTGATGACTTACCTGGTGAATTGGAGGGTACATCAAATTTGTACAAACGGGGCATTCAAGGAGTTCGTGGACACTGGTGGTGCCTGGATGAACCGCTGACGACACAGCACTGCTGCTATTACTATTACCATGAGGCTTTGACAAGGAAGGGAACTGATGATGAAGAAGGGGTTGAAGAAGGGGATTGATCTCATCATTGCCAATCAAATCTGAGGATGTCAAACAATCCAAGCTATCCAACTCCATCTTCCCAGAATCCCAAATCCCAAAAAGCAGATAAATTTACCAAATTCACGCCCTATCCTCTGATGGGTAGACTTCTTTCCGGGCTAATACCAAGAGAAGGAATAAAGGGTTGTCTTGGCTTGATGCTTTAACACATCCCCCCTCCTTTCCTCCTCATTTATATGCAATTCTGAGTGAGCATCAGTTCGTTGAAGAAATGAAAAATCGACGCAATCAGTACGGAAAACAAATAAAAAGAGGTGGCTTTGATGTTTGGTTTGAGGGGAAGAGAAGATTAAGACAGTTGATGAACATCAAACGGTTTGAGGGGCAGGAAAGAGAGAAAATGGGGGTTAAAAAATAAGCAAAGGAGATTAGGTAGAATGATGAATATGAAAACTGTGTGTCTAGGTAGTAATTCTGATGATGCACTAATTAATTATAGAAAAAAAAATATATAGTAGTACTCTATTTGTTGGTAGTTTGGTTGTTTACTGCTTGTTATTCTAATTCTGTAGAGGTTACAGAAGGAGTGGGACGAGGGACAGGGAGCGTGGTTAATGGGTGTGTGCGGTGCACGTATTAAATGACGTTTGATGGGACAAGGATCAATATATCCGACGCTTCATATTGTTACACTTTCCTGTTTCTTCTTCGTTTTTTTTTTTTTTTTGAGGATGAAGTAAATTGTTAAAGAAAATGCAAAAAAAAAGAAGAAGATATTTTCACATCAATGGTATATTTAAATAAAAATTAATAAAAGATGGTAAATGATTTGTATTAATTTTATTAATTTTATTTTTTTTGAACATTGAGAAATTTGAAGGGGGAATATGTTTTTTTTAATGCTTTAGTAAGAGTAGAATTTTCAATTAACTACAATTAAATACTTAGATTAAGAATGAATTATTGGGTCCAAAAATTTAATTCGATTTGTATTAATTTTATTTGAAAATATTAAAAATAAAGAAAGATATAGTGTAATATCATAATTTTTTATTTAATTAAATAAACTAAAGAAAGTAATTGCACTTGGTCTTCGGCTAGTAGCGTTAAGTCATGTATAAGTGCATTTTTTTATTTTCAGGGTAACGGTTCGAATTCGATCCCTTACAAATTTGTTTTAAAAAAAAAAACTAAAGAAAGTAATTATAAAATTGATTAAAATTTTATAAATTTATATATTAAAATTAAAATTATATTTTTAATTATATTTTTTAAAAAAAAAAAGTAAATTAAGTTTCTCTAAATTCTTCGAAATTAGATGAATTAAAAATAAAAATTTTAAAAGTAGCTCATGACCTTTTCATCTAACTCTTCCTCCTTCCCTCTCCCTTCACAATTTTATCAAAACAACAGAGAGGAGAGATCTCTCCCTCACTCTCTTCTCTTTTCCCTTCAACTCCCTTAATTCAGACAAAAGCTAATAATATTAAAATATTCAATCACAAAAATTGACAAAAAATAATAGTTAATTTAAACAACTATAATAAGAATCTATAGGTAATTTAATTGAGTTTTATTTTTTATTTTCTTAAGGTAATATAAACAAATATATAAAATTTTAATTAAAAATTAAAAAAATCACAATTATTTTAAGATCGAATAAGTTTGCAAAAAAAAAAGAAAAGAAAAGAAAAGAAAATTATGTCTTCAAGTCAATATGTAGACAAATAGAATGTGATGTGTCTAAGGAGCATGAAGATTTTATTAGATAAACTGGATTAAATGATGATGGAATAAAAGGTGGCTTGGTTTCAACGTTACTTAAAGGCGAAAGGAAAAATAATGGAGAAGAATTCGATTCTAATTCTATTTATATTGGCTTAAGAGCGAAGAAGAACTTGAATACTCCATCATCCATTTACAATCAAAAAGCAGTAACAAGTTGGAAACTTCTCCTTTATCCATTTCCCATGGGATGGTCTGACCCCTTATTTATCTACAATAAAATGAAATTTGTTACAAAATTTTCAAGACAAAGAAAAGAACTTTATTACAAGACTAGGCATAACTTCAACCTAGCTTAAAGCAATCAACATATGACGGATGAAGGGATGATGGATGCCACTGAAACCGTTTGTGAGGTGCCAGCATATGCTTCTGGGGAAGTCCACTTCTCCCAGACAAATTCCATAGCTTGATAGGGGATCCATTTACCATTGATTGGGGAAGGCTTCTCTATAATTTGCATCCTCACCCATTGTTAGTTGTCTTATGGTTGAATCCGTCGCTCGGGTATTCAGAAGTCTTTGAGCCAATCTGTCCTTTGTTGTAACTTTCTTTCGTAGCATGGATGCGAGAGTTTGCTTCTTCTGTCCTGTTGTTGATTCCTCTATAGCTTCGTAAACAGCTTCGGATCTGGAAGTTGAAGCCAGTGCAGCATCACGTAGAATGGCTTCATTGTGTTCCCGGACTTTAGCAAGCTTTGCACGCTTGAGAGACTCTTTATCAATTTTTCTCTTCCTTGCTTCCTCTTTATCTCTATCCCGAACATTCTTGACAGCTTGTTTTGCTAAGTTCTCAGCTATTTCAGACCCTAATTCAAGACTTCTTTCATTCGTGGAAGAGTTCTGATTTAAAGGGTTTCCTTCCTCATCTCGAAGAATGATGGGCCCATGAAATGGGCAAACTCTCAAATCTCTTCTCTCACAAAGTCCTCCTTTACTCAAAGGTGCACGGCATGGCTGGATTTCTGCTTGCTGTTCTTGATAAACAGTTGCCTGGAGATTCAATTCTGCAATTTTTTCTGCTGGAATAACAGCATTGTAATCTACCCTGCCCCAGTGACTTTCAAGCTCCAAGCCCCTCTGGTTGGCCAAAACATCCCTGTTAGGGCCCCAATTATCCAACAAAGAACCCCAATCAACGACCGGAGCTTCAGCCAAAAGCTTACTCCTAAGTGAGGCTTCACAATCTAGAGACTCATTGATCTTGGAATTTATGTTGCTGCGTTGTTTAGCTTTATCCACCACCTTGTCGGACGTTGATGCCTTGGCAGGATCTTTAGTTCGCCTATCAGGTTTCATGGAAGTCCCCTTAACTTCCTCATGAGAATTTAGAGCAGCAGCAAGATTCCCATCATTCGTAATAGGTACAGTGGAGCTATCATTCTCAGTTGATCCAACCTTAACTTCCACCCAAAAGTCTTCCTCCTCTTCTTTGTCCTTGTTTAGAGTTTTAGGAAGATCACAACCTGATTCTTCACATTCTTTCTTCACAGATTGGAGACGATTCCGAATATCAATCAACTCCTTCAGCATGGAATCTCTGGATCTGGTGTCAGTGACTTCAACCCTTATAAGAAGTGAGATCTCTTCTTGAACTGAAACCAGATGCTTTGTCACAAGAAGTTTATACAACTCCCTTAATGCATCAAAAACTACTTTGTTTTCACTGTTCTCATGAACCTTTTCCCCTTCTTTTATTGATTGAAGACGGATCTGCCTCAACTCAGAAGAATTGAACTCTACATAATCTTCATCGTCTAAAGGGACAAGAGGCAAACTCTCCTCTTTAGCACGAACAATGTCTAGACACTCACCAATTTCATCCACCGTTGTCTGTATTTCTTCCTTTATGGAACTAAAATTCTCCTTCAGGTTTTGAAACTTTGTCTTTAAAATTTCTTGTGTTCTCCTCTCCCTTTCCCTCCTCTCTTGCTGTAACCTAGCTGCATTTGCCTGTAGATTAGGAAACTGTAACCTGAGAGTATTTTTAAGGTAGTCAAAACCTAATCTAAGTTGCCTGTGATGAAGCCCAAATGAAGCATTCCACTTCTCCAAGAACTCAATTGCCTTAGACCGCAAAATGGATGCAACAGCTGGAGGAGCAGGCAGTGGTAAATTTCTTCTAAACCCAACACTTAACGTCAACAACTGATCCAAGTTCTCAACAAGCAGACTTCTGAAAAGCTTTGACCTCATAAAAAGTTCATCAATGATGAGAAGCGTGAGATACCGCACCTGAAAGAAAGAATCCCCAAATTTATATTCCTCACACACTAAACCCATTTCCCCTCCTTCCTAGATCCTAGAATATTGAAAGATCAGAATTTTATAGGAGACTTATCAGAAAAGGAGATAAAAACCTAAGAATAATTACAAAAAAGAAGTAATATTTAACATCAATACCCATCTCTGAGTCTGGCCCCAAAGAAACAATCTGAAAAAAATAATTATAAATCAACTTAATTAAGAATTAAATCCTACCCAGGCAATCCCATCCTAAACAACTCAAGTGATAAAATCTAAGAGATCATTGAAAGGAAGTAACAATTCGATAATAAAATTAAATAAATGCAACTAATTAGGAAAGAACAGAGGTCATAAAAGAATAGGGTAAAAATTGGAAGATCAGAAGGAGGACCTGGGAGTGGTCGCGTTTCATGAATTCCATGAGGGTACTGGCGGCGAGTCGGAGTTCAGAATCCGAGAATCGGACGACGGATTTGATGGCTTTGAGGAGGCGAGGGTCGACCTCCGCCGCAGTTGAGTTCGTCGCCTTCTCTATCAAAGCCCTAACTTTCCCTCCCTCCTCTTCCTCCATCTCCATCTCCATCCCAAATCGAAATCTACCGGATTTTCTTCATCTCTTTTCAAAATCCCTAACTTATATATTTAGCTTCCGTCCATAAAATCAGATCTCGAAAACGCCGGTCGGCTTGCGCATACGATCACGAAGCCTGAAAGCCCAAAGGTGAACGGTCCAGCTCAAATTCAAATGCAGGCTAGCTGCCTATGAATATGGGCTAACATTTGATTACAGCCCAGAACCCGCCCATCATTTTTTTACTGAAAAATGTGTTTTATAATTTAAATACTAAAATACTAACCATTTGAGGAGGACTCCGTAATATTAAAGGCCTCCTCCATCAAATTGTGTCTGTTTTATAATTTAATATAATTTAAATGGTAAAATAATGTATTTATTTTCTACATACTTAGTGTGTATATATATATGAGGTAAGTGTATATTAGTCTCGATTTTTAAAAAATTAGAGTTTCAATTTATGTTTA